GCCCTTTATTTTCTCTTAAGGCCAGGCTTAAAGGTGCGGGGGGGAAACACTTCGGCCGGACGACCTCGGCTACGATCCATACCGCCCGCCCCTCCGACACACACGCACGCACACACACACACACACACACACACACACACACGCTCTAGGAAATACTCTGGCAAATGACGAGGCTGCTGGTGACAAAGGCGGCGGCGAGTGCGGCGCGCGCACAGCCCGCTGAGTCTCGCGACCGCAAATATGACAAGCATCTGAGCTATTCAGCAACTTGAGGCCGGTCAGCAAGGCGGGAAGGGTCCCTGCGGGGGGCTAAGGGCAAAGATCCGACCTCGAGGCTCAGCGTCCAAGCTGCCCGCGGGGTTCTTGAAGCAGGCGTCCAATGCAGGACACTCCGCCGACACCCCAGTCTCGGGACGCACGACTGGCCCGCAGAGATGTTCGAATGGCAGGACCCTGGCTCCAGCTGGAGCCCGGGACAGTCAACGTCCCTAGCGCGCGGTGGCCCCAGCCCAGCCCTCGACAAGTCAGCAGTACTTTCGGAGCTGGGCAAAACCGCTGCATCCTTCGTGGCAGGCTGAGCCCAGGTGCAGACCCCGCACCCGGCTTGGAGACACAGGGGGTTCAACGACGCCGCCCTCTGTCCCCAAATTTCAGGTCGATGGTCTTTTCCCTCCCCTTAAGAGAGCTCATGATTTGAATTACTAACATTTAGCAGGGAAATTTACACCAGTTATGGAAGGGCGTGTGCGTGCCTAAATGGTGCAAATTTAAGAGCACTAGGAAAAGAGGCCAGAAAGACAGCTAGACTGGAAAATTGATTATTAAAAAAATTGCATGCGTGTTCAGTGTAAAGTTGTTATAATAATTCAGACACCTTAAAATTTTGGCTGCCACCCCAATCAATATCATTTCAGATCACTTTGGCATTTAATGGTCCACTCTACTAGTTGTATTTAAGGATAATAAAGCTTTAAGACCTAACATAAAGGTGATTATAAGTCGTTAACATCAAGACAAATTTAGACCTATTCAAACTGTTCTGTAATGATTTGTTATCAATCAAATTGATGATCTCATCGAAATTAAACTTGGGCTAAAACGTTGTGGAGGAGACAATGTTTCTTGTTTTATCTCTTAAGTCGAATGAAGAAAGGTTTTTTTCTGGCCCTATAGTATAATTAAAATCTTATACATATTTTTTAAAAGTATAACCAATGCCAAAAGCTAATAATTTGTAGACATCTTCAGAAAGTTTCGTTATAATAGCCTTCAAAATCAGGTAGCAGTGCTCAGTGGCCCTCCACAGGTCTTGCTCAGCTCGGCCTGGGTGCCCCAACAGGCAAACATTTTGCTAGGAAATCAAGATATTTTTCATTTCCAGAGTTCTGCATTTTAGAGCCACTAACTACGAACCGTTTCCTAAACACCCACTCACGTATACTTTCAGTGCTCACTTTAAGGAATAGAAATAATAATAGAAATAGAAGCTGCACAATAATCTCTTCCTGTGATATGCTTACAGCAGAGGCCAGAGGCATTCGTTCTGTTGAACTGAGGATGAATTTATACAGTTATTCATAAAGTGAAGTTAGCAGAAAGTTAGACTTCTGGAATTTTTTTCTTCTTCTAGTTTTTGCTATAGGATCCATGAGCTCACCAGAAAGAGACAGAGTGAGAGGGAAAATGAGAAATATCCCCCCAATACACCCGGAAGGAGGACCATGTTGTATTCCCTTCTCCCCCATTCTTCTCTTGGGATTTTGGGCATACACATGTGCCCAGCGTATTTTTTCCAAGGCACCAGGTCTGGGACTCTAACTATGCTCTTGGCTACATGGGAGACACCAGCTGCCCTAACCACTACACCACCTGGTTGTCTCAGACTTGCAGAATTTTTGTGACATTTGCTATTTTCTAGCAAATGGATTGCTGAGTGGATTATACCTGTACAAAAGAAAAGACTAAAACAAAAATGGGAATTGTGTCTGCAGAGTAGACACACGGTTTTGCTAAAGTCCATATTCTGTGTATGCTCAGTAGAAGTTTGAATTCTTAGGACACTAGCCTGAGTTTTGGAGCGAGATGGTTCCCATCTCTTTATACTTTCGAAGCTTGTAACACCTTATTAACGCATATGTTACATACGACTCCTACTACCCCCACTTTTAGAATCTGGCATCTTTGACCAAGAAGTCTGAGTGAGAAGTGGCAGCTTCAACAGCTGCCTATGTGGTCCAGCACCAGGTGGTTAACTCCCCCCTCCCCCCAACCCCCAGGCTGAGTCACACACAGGCCATGGCAACAATCCCTGCCCAGCCTTGGAAATCCAAGTCTAAGAGGACAAGAAAAGGCCCTCCCTGCACTTTTGAAGTCAACTCCCTTCAGTATGCAATGGCATGATTTGTAAAAAAAAAAAAGAGTCTCATTTATTCCTAGCAAATGAACAAGGAGTACTTAGTGAGCATCTAAGTTTGGTTTTCACTATTTGGGACATTAAAAAGCCCATTTAAAATAATTCTACTCTCAGGGCCTCATCCAGCATTTAGAGTTTCTCTCCTCTCAATTTCATATAACATAATCTCGGAACACTTATAAGAAATGAGGCCAGTCATCCACATTTAACTATCAGGAACATATCTGTTTTGGGAGAAAAGAAACATTCTTTTTATAAGTACAGAACTATGATGGAAAATTCAGTAAATGCTCATGAGTTTAATTTCAAAGAGGTATTTTCTCAGGATCACTTTGTGTTTCTGGGTACTAGTTACACGCTGCTGCTTCTCTTTTGAAAGTTTCCAGGCCCCCACATCTTACAGACAGCATGTTACTACACTAACTGAAGGCTACTTTTAGCACTTAATTAGCATGCACCAAAGAAATAAGGGACAGGCCCAGCTGCAGAGGTGAAGGTGGGAGGGTGCTGCTACACAGTGCTGGGACCATGTGGAAGGCCCCAGATTCAAGTCCCAGGTAGACGTGAACACACTGGACATTCGCATGGGTGAGTTCATGAACCTGGCTGGCTGAAAGGCTGGGGAACGGGTGGAGGCCGTGTCAAAGGTGCCCACCCAGAAGTAAACAAATAAACAAACTTCAAAACAGAAGAAGGACAAACTGAATATAAAGAAATTGAGAAGCAAAGATCTTAAAATGGGTATTTGTTTATTTATTTTTAGCAAGAGATCTTTGCTATAGGGCTCATGCACTCACCAGAGAGACAGAAAGCAAGAAATCATCCCCCAGGGGAATGGCCATGCGGCAATCCTTTCTGGATTTCCCTCTCCGGATTTTTGGGTGGGCACGCACACACATGTGCCTGTTGTGAGTTACAAGCTGCCGGGTCTGGGACTTGAACAGTGGTCCACCAATGTAACCACTATGCCATCTGCTGGTCCCTTAAAATGGGTCTTAAACCTAATTTTTCTTCTTGTTTTTATGAGAGACATGGTGAAAGAGAACAAGAGAGAGTGAAAGATAGGTATATATTTTTAAAAGTTTACCCATCTAGTTCATGAGTGAGAAAGAAAAAGAATGTGGGACAGCCAGAGATACAGCATCCCCAACAGCATCCCAACACTGCAATCCACCTCAGCTTCGGCCAACTCAGATTACAGGTGCAGGCGTGCCCTGTGCACTCAGGGAGGCCTCTGGCTGTGAACTAGGGTCTACCTCACAGATCATGCATTCTACCTACGTGCCACCATCCAACTCCAGGGTAGGTATTTTGGACAAGGCTTCACTATGCAGACCCTCCTGCCCAGCCTAATTAGCTGGGGTTACAGATGTGTGCCACTGTGCCCAGCATACTCAGGTTGGCCCGGGAACTGAACCCAAACCTCTCACATGGCTTCCAGCTTCCCAAGTGGTGGTACTATTTGTGCATCATGGTGGCCGGGCCTTAATTTTTCTTTTGCCTTTATTATATTTTCTTTCAGGTTCTGCCTGAAATACTACTGATAATCATCCACCTATGTTACATACAAATATTGGTTTTGCTGTTAAAAATATAATAAACACTTCAGGGCCAACCCTATAGTCTGCCCAGAGGAAGCCCCATCCCACATGGCTGACCAGGGTTTGAGTCCTGACCTGAGCAGCTTAAGAAACATGTCCGGGATACTGACGGGTGGAGAGAAACATCGCATCAAGACCAGCCCTTCTAGGGGGCTGCTTTTTCTCTCTCCTGCATGTGTACATGTTCTCTGGCACAGAAAAAATAAATAAACGATAATAAACATTTCAGTTATTAAACAAATTGTACAGAGCCAGCTGGGCTAATTAATCTTTTCATGGACAATACAGAGCTCCTCACTGTGGACATCTCATTCACAGAAAATTGAAAACTTAGACTAAATCTTCACAATAAAGTTCCGGACATCACATTGCCTAACTGGTTTTCAAGGAGTTCATAAAGGATAGGGTGATGTGGAAAACTACCCACACGGAGATGGCACAGCCAAGTTCAGGACTCTTCAGCCAGCAGCAATTTAAAACTTCACTCTCCCCAAAGAGCAAGTTAACTCATCTATTTCTACAAACTTTTCTCCATCTCTTCTTCCACCTACTTTTTGCCAGGCTTTGTTCTGCACCTTTCCAAAGTTAAAATTCAGGTAAGTGGAATTACAACTCCAGTGAAGAGCTCCTTCTACAAAGCCTCCCAATGCTCTGCAATGCCTACCCCTTCCATATCAAGGGCACTTTCATTCAAACCACAGTCAGCCTTGCGGAATCTGGATCTCTTAATGGTTAGCCTACAAAGCTGGCCTATTTTCTGGCTCT